AATACTTTCCGTTAACGAGACAGCGACGACGATCCCGACGGCTGAAGTATTGACTTAGCCTTTCCGCGGGGTTAATTCCGTGCGACGTGCGAGCGTGTAAAGCCCGAGGCAAGAAGCATGACACCGGAACACGAATATCTCTTCACGGTTAAGCTCCGGACGTCACGAGACGCGCCTCTCTCTCCCAGGATTAGCGTTAGGTCTAACGTGCCTAGCGCGCGGATGAATATTCAATGCAATATGCAGCAAGAGCGACGTCGGAATACGGTAATTATCCGACGTTACGATGAACCCGAGCGTAGTCTGAATTAAAGCCCCTCTTGAGCGGCGATAGCTAGTCAACCGCAGCGGCGAGTTCTCCAAGAGAGGAGCGACGAGTTCTCTAAGGGTTACGTCACGTTCACGTTACACGGCGACCTACGTGAACTACTGAGCGCGATCGAAAGTCTACATCCAGCGTGTATATTCGCGAAGAAACGAGGAAGGTTTGCATGCCGGCTGTAAAACAATCAGAGATCAAAGTTGTACATTTCAGCTCAAAATGTACAAATCGCGAGACGCTTTGTCACGGAATTAACTCGGGAGACTCTGAGCGATACCCCTCTCGCAGCGAGGCTTCAACCACGTGGAATTTAATTCCGCTTATCTTGCGCGGGCGTACAGCGAGCAAAATATTAAATAAAAGTGATCCAACAACGGCTGTGCTTTGTTTCTCTCCCCGGCTTGAAGAAATTAAAATCTCAAAACTGTCTCCGAGCATCGGATTCTACTTCCGCGGCACGAAATGCTTTTTTACTTATACTGAGAGAAAAAAATATCTAGGAAATATTTATTCGGTGGGTACTAATGAGATAATCACTTGTATTAATATATAAGATTTTTCAAGTAAAAAAACATACATCTTCTTAAGATCTCTTAGCTTTTATAAAAATAATTGTTTATTCTACACTGAGACAAAAATACTTGAAAAAATTTTGTTTGCGGAATATACACTTTATTCACAGAAATAAACTTTATGTCCCACGAATAAATTTTCAAGTACTTTTTTCTCAGTGTATTCAAATGAAAAAATACCGATTTATAAGTAAAGATATTATTGGTACTCACCAAATAAATATCTTTTAGGTATCTGTCAGTGTATCAAAAAAAAAAGGAAGAGAAAAGAAAGCGTTCCGTACTAGAGTTATTCGAGATGATCGATTACGCGCGGGAGCAACAATAAAGAAGCGCCGATTCGGGACGTTCGCGGGTTGTTACGGCGCGGATAAATGATCATACCGTGGCGCACTTGGTTTTATCAGCGGAGGGTTAAAGAGCGAGATAACACGGCGCGTCGAGTGGAGGGTGAATCGGAAATTGCAACGTAGAAGCCGACTCATCGATATTACGAGTGAGCGAATCGGGATACGCAGTCACCGCGCCCGGAGAAGGATTCTCCCGCCGCTTACGAAGATTGATTTCTCCTCGACAGATCGGATCGGCATCGGCGTATCGATCTGGCAGTGTGCCGATGTTTCCTTGGGAGATTCAATTTATCGGCCAATGCGAAATCACACTTAACTCTCGCGAGACCGGAACTTGCTCCCCTCGCCCGTGCCCCAGTCAGAATCTTCTAATCACATCAATCGGCAAATGAGATCGAATTTACTTCGCGCTTCATTCAAATTTGAGAAACTTCAAACTCGCCAAAGTGACCTGCGACTTTTCTTCGCTCCGTTCCAACGCGAATGCAAGCTTGCCTTCAGCAGAGAAATAGAGAGAGAGAGAGAGAGAGAGAGAGAGAGAGAGAGAGGAAGAGACAGCTTGCTTTGCAATTGTTACGAAATTCGCGAATCTGACTGGTGACTCTCTAATCTTGGCTGAAAGCCTCGCCTTAACAGCTATTATCTGAAACTTGTCTCATACGAGAAATACTCAGATCTGAATTTAGAGGGTTAGATTTAAATCATTTTTTCTCTGAATTATATATAATACATATACAACATTGCATTTATAATCGCAATTCAGTTAAAAAACTCGCATCTAACTCTAAATTCAGATCTGCATATCTCATCTGAGACAAGTTTCAAGTGACGACTATTAACATACGGGTTTGAATATCTCAGTTGAGACGAGTTTCAAGCAACAACTGTTAATACGGGCCTCCGAGCGTACAGCAATCGGATTCACGAGCTTCACAACAGTTGCAAAGCGAGCTTTCTTCGTCGAACGTAGCCAAAGTTTCGCGAGATAAATGCAGATAGGCGGGACGCGCGACAAATTTTGCGACAGACATTCGGACAGATAATCGAGAGCGAACAAAGTTACGCAATGGACTCTGGTCCGACGTTGGTGACGGTGGTGGTAGTTACACAAAGGTACCGAGGGACACCTGACAAATGGATCTACGTGACTTCCATCGCCAACTAGGGAGACGTCCGTCAAATGTCAAGTGGCGCGGAATATTTCCGCCGGTTACGAATAGACGCAGGCGGAGACACAAGCGGGTTTTACGAGTGTCCTTGAGGAACGCGCTCGGGAAGAGGATGATTCCGGCATGCGAGAGTTAGCAGTGCGGCGAAATAAGAGCGGCGCGTTAATAAATTTTATCGTCTAGATTACACACACGTGCTGGACGCGTACTTGCGGTCGTTACCGACGTAATACGACGATCGTGTGTAATAAAGAATTATTAGAACAGTGCTTTCGAGGTTGCGTCGAGGGTGTACGACGGGGAGGACGGGTCGGGCAGAGAGGAAGTGAGAAAAGAGCAAGAGAGGGAGAGCGCGCACGGAGAAGCCGTAGAAAAATATAAAATCGCGTAGACTGTAAGAATAGCGAGCGCGCGGGGGTGGCTTTCGGTTCTTCGTTTATGTCGCTTTGACGATTCCCGTCCGCCTTAATTGTATTCCTCGTTACGTTAATTGTTGTCGTCGGCGCGGGATTGACACTATCTCCGTCGTGTCGCAGCGAGCTATGAAGATCGGGATCGATAATCCAGGGACGCGAACGCGACATTTCATCGATAACGAAAACTCAACGACTTTTATCTAAATCTGAAACGGCGCCCATTCAACAAATACCGCGAAACTTATCCAGAGAAAATATTGTAGTAAAAATGACAAGAAAATTTCGGAATCTTGGACCATACGGAAATTATGACCGAAACGTCCACATACGTTGGACTTATTGCTAGGAAATTATTGTAAAATTTCGGTTACCCAGAAATCTTTTCTGGTTAACAAAATCAAGCTATCAACATGTTCAAGCTAACAAAATTCCGGTTAACCAGGAATCTTGCTTGGTTAGCCGGAATTTTGTTAACTATTAGAAGAATAGAATTAATAGAAGATTAATAGAATAGAATTCTGATAATTTTAATTGAAATTTTAATTCGTTTATCATCAAATACTTGGTTAATTCAATCAAATTTTCTTTCTCGTGTAATCTTAATGTGTAATTTTTGCTGCGATATTTTTCCCGCGCATCTGAAAAAAGACGATACAATTGTCAATTAGATCGTTAGAGCGTGAGGCTCAATATTTCGGTGTCGCGTTTGCGCCAATATCTCGCTATAAATCTCGATTGACCCGGCAATAACACGAGTACGTGCTGTACGGAGAGTCTGTGTCGCACGCGCGGCGATCTAGGCAGAACCACAGATGGGAATCCGAGTAAGGATGATCTGAGTAAAGAGAAGAGTCGAGACCTGAATCGGGGCGCTCGATTTGAAGCCGCGATCAGCGTGTGAACGGTCGGCCAGCCGTTAACTAGTTATCTAAATACGGTACGACGGAAATCGAGCCTCTGGACGCGCGCATTCGCGCACGGTCGCGTGCATTTCAGCATACTTATGCGTACCCTCCTATTGCGTGTGTATGTGTGCGCGTGTGTACGTTAGATACGGGGGTGGCGGTTCCACGAGGGTGGCCACACGTCGAAAGGGGGGCGACAAACGAGATGCTAACGACGGCTCCTCTAATAATGTAATGCACTTTAGGTCCGTTCTTAAGCTTTATAAAAGTCTCCCGTTCGTACGTCGACTCTCGCTTTCGTAAGAGGGAACTTTATTATGTCGATTGTCAATGCTGCACTTTCTATTCGAGAGGAGAGAGTCGCGATGTTCCGTTCCCCGCATTATCCCCCAGTCTGCCGGAAGTCGTGCGTGGATTACGAACCGGGTCTTGATTGGCGATTTAGCGATCAGAACGCGAGTGTGTGCCCTTGTAAATCAACGACGCAGTGCGAATGCGGCTCTATCTCAGGTCTTGCGCATTGCTGGCAGGGGGGGGGAAGGAAAAGAGACGCACGTTCGAGTTACAAATACGAAGTTTGCCCCAAAACTATTGCCACTGCGCTTTCACGCGCGTATTTCTCGTTAATACGTCAATTTTCCTTCGGAGGTGCATTTAGACGCGGATTCTCTAACAATTTTCACAACGGGTCAGACAGAATAATCTCTCGAACATCTTGCCCGGACAAAAGTCTCGCCGACTCCAATCTTGTTGTATTCACCCGCTAAAAGTCTTCAAAATTATTTTCAGATTTACAGACAAGAAGAACAGCAGTAGTTCTGAGACATTAACGACAATAAGATGTACCAAGGAACGACTGTGTTCGCAGAGAAAGTCTCATTTCTTCGCACGGAGAAGCGTGAAATGCGAGCTTTATTATCGCCAGTGGGCAAGACCGTTGCTTTTTCTTTTCTCTCTTTACGAACTGGTACAGATTCGCTCTCTCTACACATAGAATATATATAATATATATTAATATTACTTTTATAACACACGTTTCTTTTTTTCATATATATATTATACGCACGTATATGTATATATAATATACTTCGAAATATCGTGTTAACGGATAGAGTTCTTCATCTTCGTTTAAAATTGACTTAATCAATTGGTAGTTGCGATTGAAGCACGTAGAGAGTAAAATCGCGAAGCGAGAGGACCTCCGCCTCTCCCACGCGTCATGGAAGGAGCCGATGATATGTACCTAGCCTAATATTAATATGTATGCGAGCGCATGTTGATCTTTTTTTTTTTTATTTACTTCGTCGGCGCGGGAACGTTCTCTAGCGATCTACTCCGCGACTCGATCGTCCCCGATTCTCCCCTCGACCGGAGAAATCGCGACGAAGAACCGGCAAAAGTCCCGATGCAAAAATCTCACACATTGGAATTATGCAAAAATAACGAGCGAGGATATTCTGTTTCTCTTTTTTACTTCTTTCTTCATTCACGTTCGTCGAGTCGATCGAATTTTGCCTCCTACGAGTGATCTACCGAGAAGTCAGCCGCGAAGATCGCGACGTGACTCTCCTTGATCTACGCGAAACTACTCCTAATTTACATACCGTACAATTCCCCTCTAGAAAGGGGCATGCGAAATCGATCGAGCTCGATCGACATTTCAGCGGAGGCGTCCGCGGGCGAGACGCGGCAGAGACGACAGAGAGAAAAGAGGGAGATTGAGGAGGAGACGAGAGAACGCGACCGCGCGGACCGGAAAGCATATGTCGTCCTAATAGAAACACACAATTGGTCGAATGCTATCACTAATAGACGCTAGTCTATCATCTCCTCGGAATGAGGGCGAGAGCAATAGATTTCGCCGCCTCTTAAGATTACTGCGATCCGCTCAAAGGCTCATCCCCTAATCTAGGTGACGTAAGCTTGCGGCGTGAGTTGGAGTAAGAGATAATGATAACTTATTTAATTTATTTCTCTTAAATAAATAAAGATACTTCCGGTGCAAGGAAGTTAGAGTGTAGGGAGGAAAAGGACGCGTAAGCGAAATAAATTATTTTTATTTCTTACTCAAACGCCAAGCTTACGTCGCCTATTGTAGACGAGCCTTTAGACAAGAGAGAAAGAGAGACGAGAGAGAGAGAGAGAGTATGTATATGTGTGTGTATGTGTGTGAGTAATGCGGAAATGCGATGAAGTTACTATTCGTCTCGTACGAGACATTGTTCACTACACATCCGGTCGGGGAAAAATAAGCGAAAGACGCGGTCTCCCTTTCCGTGTACTCTCGCGAGAAGTAAATTCGCCCCTGCGACGCGATATTCGCGTTGCGGCGACGCGCCAGTAACACATTGTGGTCCGCTTGTCGTTGTTCTTTGGCTGATATACGCGAAAAGGAGGCGTGTGGGTATCCCCTCTGGAACGTACCGTTTTTAACGTGGGGGTTACCGCAAAACCGATCATCACCGCCTGCACGGCGCCGCTAATCAATTTTAACACGGCTGATTGATCGCGACATCGTCGATTAATCCTTAGTGCGAACAATTAACGTCGGTACACCCTGATGAATTTCGACGACGCCGCCGTTTGAGAGATTGATATCGCGCACATTAAATATGCTTTTAATCAAGCGCGATACCGTCACTTGCAATGGAGCCATTTTCGCGCGCCCTTAATAAACGGCTGTTGACAAACGGCTGTTGATAAACGGCAACCTAATACTTTCACGCCACCGATTCATTCCGGTCCCGACGCCCGACATTCTTGCCCTCGCTCTAATCACGCCGTTGTAATCTACCTACTGAGTGACTACACATACACACACATATGTTCTCTCACACATTCACACACATACACACAGCCTGAACAATAGCGCGCACAACAACTGAAGAACCAGACCAGCGCGAGAACTTACGCGCTTTTCACCGACCAGAAGTTCCCCGACCCGTTCCACTCGGAACGTGCTCTTTCAAGGATCAAGGCATTCTCCAACATCTGGCGAACGGCGGACAATTAGTTCGCCGCGGAAGGATGCCGTATCGAGGGCGGAGAAGAATGTCAGATAATCGTCTTGTAATCTCTGTAGCGTGTCGTACTTTCCACATAGAAGAACATGGCTGTGGACTCGGAGGACGTCTGCGGTTTCAACTACCACAATTTTCGCCGATTCGCGAGACTAGATTTGCCTACACATCGCAATTCCCCCCTTCTGCGAGTTCGTACGATTAATTCTGGCGATTTCTCAGGTTCATGTGACTCTCTTTCATAATTTGTAATACCGTCGCCTGCTAGATATTCATTTGTGCAAATCCTTGCACGGGGAGGAAGGATTGGTTGAATCAGCGTGACAATTGTCACAACCAAGTGCACCGAGAGAAAAAAATGGTTAATTTCGCTAAAATTATTATCATTTTCTTTGTGGTTAGAACCACAAAAGGACTATGTCCTTTTGTGGTTCTAACAAAAAAAAGAATAGTAGTAATACGCGTCTAAAGTTATTACCACTGACATTGTAGCAACACTTACTATAAAAAACGGTTCTCCTGACTATAACTACTTCGCTATGCGATTACAGAGTTGCAAATACCGAACACTTTTTTCTCAGTGTGTCTTTTGGTCGAAGGAAACGGAAACGGAATTTCTGGCCCTTAAGAACCGAATTTGGTTCTCAAGGAACAGAGATTCTGTCTCCTCCAACCAGAACGCGTTTATTCGCGTCATTGCCATGTTAATTCAAGCAATTTGCTTCTCCGTGTGTATGACTTTTTCTTTCTATTTCCCAAAAGCGCGAAACATCCGCGGAATTCCCGAATGCACTTCAATCGACGGCTAACGGTAGCCGCAGTCGATATCACAAGGGCTTCGTGATTGCCGCGTGGAAGCGACTTGAAATTGCTAACGCTACTCTCGTTACCGTATTTGTTAATTTGACATTTCGGTTTCCCGCTTTTCCTTTTTCCTTCCACCTATCTATCACGATAATCGCGCGGACGAGGGATGAGCTGGAAATCTATTTTTAAAAGTTCTCTCATCTACTCGTAATATACACCCATCCACGCACACATTGACTTTAATTTATACTCCTGATCGACAGGAAGTACAGTTGCTCTCTGTACACTTTTATGAGTCTACTTCACCCGCGCCGCGAGCTTCTCGATCATCGTCGTAGCCGACATTCAGGATACACTACCCCTACGTGGTGTGTGTGCGTGTCCACGAAAATTGCGAGTTAATCCGATTAATTACTTCCACAATGACGGTTCTCGTCAATTTGGTTAATCTAACGAGGTATATACAAATGTACAAGGTGTTCTCCAACGTGAATAACGTCGCGTCCACAAAAAGAAAGAACTGTGTGTGACGCGTACACGCGTCTCGCTTCTTCATCTCTTTTTTTTTTAATATATCTCTCTCTACGAGATTGACTAGAGATCGCATCGCGTCCGACGTCACGTGCATCACGTTCCGGGATTCTTTAATATGGTCGCGCTACTTTGCTTATATTTAATAGTAAGAGTATTAATTCCCGTCTGATTTTCGCGCCGTTCAGTCTCGTTCAGCGAGCCGTGGTCGGCATGCAGTCGACTGATCGGTCGAAAAGTTTGTTCGCGAGAAGCCCGAGTAATGCACACGGCGCGTTTTATATACGCTGGGAATCCGCGCGGATCACAATGTGTTCCAAGCTGAAGCGACTGGACCGCTCTGTAGACGGAAGAAACAACTCCGTCGGTATAACCGAATTTTCTGTTACTTAGGGACCAGATGAAAAACTCGGTTGTAGGAAAAATCGATATGATTGGTTCATGTAAATCTGATTATGCCAAACAGACTCAATATCTGCGCGCGTGTGTGTATGTATATGTGTGTGCATATAGAAAATTACATATTGCATTCAAGAAAATATATAATTGCTTCTTTCAAGTATTTCATAAGTTTATAAATTCGCAAATCTATTATAAGCTCATCAAATCTATTCAGAATATATTTCGAATCTTACCAGAGGTTTAGCATTTCAATGAAAAATATGAAAACAAAAATTCGATTTATTTGCAATGTAGACTCGAGCCAACTATATCTTTTGATAAAATTCTTCAATATTCTTATAAAAAGAATAAATTCTTCTTTGAAGTACATAATAACGAGCTTTTCTCAAAGTTGTCATAAGTATATTTCGAGACTATTATCAAGAAAATATTCTTTGCTGAACGTAACCATTACTTAAAAGAAGGAAAGTAAAGCAAATAATCGCTTCTCTAAACGGCAGAGAATGATATTTTCCTTTGTGTGGTCGGCAGATTTATGTGTGGGCAAATCATACTGGCTTTTCCGTGAAAGATTCCCGGAGGAGATTCCTACTCAGCCAATCGCCCTCTCGTGATCTCAACCGAGCTTTAATGCAGCTGAATGTTTTCGGTCACAATAGCGGAGATATTATTTCTCCGCGCGCGCGTCAGCGAGTCTTTCATCTGGTCCCACCCGGGATGATTCAATTACCCGGAATACTGAAGAAATCTTTTTCTCCGTGTGATGGTGGAGGAGCGACTTTCTCAACCGTCAACAGTGACGGCAAAAATAATCATTGATTTCCCCTCGGATCAATTTCACCCTTATCGCGCGCAATCAGCCGTCTATCGCGTTGTCGACCGTTTTCTCGTTCGACTGAAGTTTGCAGGTTGCAGGTCGCGGCGCGTATGCATCTCCCAGAGGATCCAGAGAGAGAGAGAGAGAGAGAGAGAAAGAGAGAGAGAGATAAAGCGCGTTTGGTCGTAAATTCCAGGTCGCGCAAAATCGTGTCGCGCGATTAATTCGACTATCTCGCACACACGTGCGAAATATGTACGCGGGGAAACTCATATTCGCGCTGCGCTTAAACGATGAGAGATAATTATTTCACACGTTGCTAGCCGCGAGAGGCACTAGATGATAAATTGGACACGATCGGTGTCGGCGAATTCGCGTCGTAGCGGCGAAATATCGAACGATTGCGAATTCTAGCGTTGATATATCTTTTTTTTGCACAACGCAACATATGAAAGCGCTTGAAAAGTATGTCGCGGACGACCAGGGCCGTTGTGTGTGAATAAAGTTCCCGTTTGATTTCCGGAGAGAAATCTCTGCTCACGGAGGCGATTGGAGTTGCACCGGGAACGACAGCGGGAAGAAGGATCCCGCGAAACGACGCCGGCGATCGTCGCGCGGCAAATCGCATCGGAATATCTCCGGAATCGCCGGAAACAGCTAACGAAGCAATTGCGGCGCAACCTGCAACGTGCATCTCGGCGTATGCAGTGGGGCATGCACAATGGCGATACACGGCGGCTTCGAGAGGGTTAAACCGCCGACGAAATATTCCAGATGTATCCGGTTTCGCGCTGTTTCTCGGAATCGATCGTGCCTCGACATGTGCGGTCGTGAATTCTGTGCGTTGCGACGCAACGTCGCGAGTTTTGCAATCGCACGCATTTTTAAACGCTGCGTAACGAAGGAAGACGAGAAACCTCTTGCGAGATACCGACAGATGTATGAGTGGTATCGCGCTTTGAAAAATTGCTCCGTTGCTTTTCAGGAGTCGATCTCTCGCGAATGACAGTGGAATATCGAGCGAACGGTATCTCTCTCGCGAATAATATCGAGTTGTGTGATAAAAGAATCCCGGATTTCGCACATGGAAACGAAAGTTTGGTTGGATCAAACAAATTTCTGATAACATACGACACAAACCAGAAGTTACCAGAATTCTGCTGAAGTTAATAATCTGATCAAGTCAGCCAAATCTTTTTTTCCATGCAGGTAAAATGAAACAATCACTTCGAAAACTCGAATTCTACCCAGCAGAAATCTATTATATGTAGCCTCAAGAGAGAATTCTTTTAAGACCAAAATGAAAATATTCTAATACCCCAAAAAAGAAAACTTTGGCTGTAAGATAGAATTCCCGTATTCTGTGTGAAATATTCTGGGCAAAAAAGTTCCATGTTCTTTTGCAAAAAGAATGATCCTCTTCTAATAAGAAGAGGAATGATATTGCGCTTGAAATATTTTCCTCTTGATTTTAAAGGAATTCTCTTAAAAAGCTATATATAAGAGTACTCTATTAAGGACAAGTTTTTTTGGGGTGATTACATTTTGACGTCAGAATTTTGCGGGATAATACGTGCGAAAGATTACGACGAGAGATCATAGATCAAAATGGCGTATCAATGCCTCGTAAAGTACAACGACATGAGGATACAAACGTCTAGTTTCTCCTGGAAAACGAGAAATTGCTTCTCACAAAACCCGATGTATTATTCGCGAGATCGTCCGTCGCAAATGACTTAATCCATACGTTCAATTAAGAACACTCGGTGGCAAGCTTACCTTGCTGGATCAGCGCAAGGTACAGGATTCCCAATGACAAACAAGCGATTTGTCTGCCTCCGCACGAACGGTAAGCTTCCCAGCGCATCCGCCTTATAGAAGAAAACGTCACGCGCCGACGTTTACGTATCCGATACGCGTGCGTGACGCTTGTTCATAAATCTTAAAATACATGCGCGCCAAGCATTGACCTCGATGCACATTGTGCTTCTCGCGTATACACGATACATGTTATGTTCGGCGTATACGGCGCCGACGAAAGAAGAGAAGAGAAGAGAAGAGAAGAGAGAAAGAAGGAAGTCACAGAGCCTTCGGCGGAAGGCGTCAGGACGTCGTCTATGCGCACATCGACCAGCACGCCGTTGAACGGACGAAACGGTCGGCCGTCGCGCGGTCACAAGCTCGATTTTCTCCGTATCGATTAGCCACCAGCGGATTTTGCGAGACCAACCCTTCCTCCTCCTCTTCTTCATCGCGTCAGCGCGCGGCAGGATGATGCAAAGCGGGGCGTTTACGTGTAAATCATAATACTTCACGTTTACGTGCAGACAACGTAAACTATGTATGAGATATGATAATGAACAATCCATGGAAATTTCGTTCAAAGTACATACGGTTTTTGTTCAAAAATTAATTAGTAAAAATTTCCACTTTTCCTTTAAAATCCTAATGTTAATTTAGGATTACTTCTGTTTCCTCAACAAGTTAGAGACCATAGAATTTCATTCACGTAATAAAATGAAAATTTCGTGCCACACACATTTGTTGTCTCTTTTAAATATATATTACATTTATAATTAACATCTAAACTCTCATTTAACTCTCATTTAACTCTCATAGTTAAATTGCTCTTTTCTGTGTATTTTAATCTAATTCACAATATTTCACACAGTTTACCTTATCTGTATGATAAACGAGCGTGTACATATCACGTAGAAGACATGCAAATAATCCGCGTAGAGGTAATCTTGAAGTCGACGGCATCACCCCGATACAAGGCGCGTGCAATTCCTGGAGCAACGATAGGACTGCATGAACCGATAGATAGATGCAACAGACCGATCGCCGGCGCTCGCGAATTTCAACAGCCGACCTTGCGTAATGAAGAGAGGCCGATTCTTCCAACGGCTCTCGGAGCCGTCGGTTAACTTGCACCGCGGCTTAACGAACCTTTTGTCTCGCTAATCTAGTTCTACAAAACGCGTTAAAAAATCAACTGAGCGACGGCAGAATTTCACCGGTTGGCGCCGGTGCCTAGACGGGAGTTGCGACTCGCCGCTACTCTCACGGGCCAATTAGTCCAATTAATTGCACGTCGCCGGCCATTGTTGTCGGTCGCAGCCCTGCGATTTCTCTCGCGGTATTCGCGATTGCGGAATGTCGAGGAGAAAGATCGACCCGCACGTTTACACGCGTATGCGATTGCAAAAGAGGCAACGGCGAGACACGACGAATCCGCGAGGAGATTTGTGACATTTGCACGAATGTTTCGGCGAGGAGATTGCACGGAGATTGACCCGCCCTTTTACCGTCTCTACAATTTTTATCGCTCTCCTCCGGATCTCGCTCGCCCGCACAAAGAGCGCGTCCTCGTGGCCGACGGCAATCCGGTGGATTTTCGTCGAACACGACGGACGAACACGCAACCGGCATGCTTCGCGACCACCACTTCACAATGGCGCATACGTAACGTTGCCCATAATGTCACAATTATATTTCGACTTGAACGTGGGGGACGATGGCGCGGCGTGCTGGTCGACGAATGCGAGCCCCCGACATGGATCAGCTCGCGGTGGGCCGATATAAAATTAACGTATTTCCCTTAAGCGATATTCCCCCTATCTCTAATCGACATTACCTTGTCGCAATTCGTTGTGTTACCATCTCGCGTGAGCGCGCAACATCGTCCTCGTCGTCATCGTCGTCGTAGTCGGCGTCGTCGTCGGCGAGACGGCTCGTGTCGCGTCCTGGTATCGCTCCTCGCGTTTCGGTCCTCCTCTGACCTACGCACAACAGCTCGATACACAACGATCGATACACACTTTGCGCAGGGCCGCAAAGGGACGCGACGCACGCAATCGCGCGCCCTGCGTTCTCCGTGCATCGCGCGAGTGTCTCGCTTAATTAATCCTACGAGGCTCGCACACCTCCGGATGTCCCGCACTTTCCTCGTCTGCGATGCCGCAGTTCATCGGCTCTTGTCTTGCTTATGTCGTACTGCGGTTTCTCTACCGCGATATCGCGCGGCGGCCGAGCCGGCGGCACCCGACCTTGCCTGCTCCTGATCCTGGTTATTAGTCGTCTGATGCGCTGCTCGATCTTTATTCTACTTGGGAGAGCTCCGTGCGATCGAATGCGAGTAAATCTCGACGCGATTCCCGCGAAGGTTTCGTGAGCGACGGAACGAAGCGACGTACGGAATGAAGACAGTTGATGGCTGTCAAATAAACAACTTACGCGAGACTCGGTAATCACAGTCGGCTTTGAGCTGTTCGAATGTACATTTACATAGGAATTTCCTTAAAAACGCAAACACGGCCTAAGCTCTTCAAGAGATCTTGAAGGGATCCGCGAACTTCGGATCAGATCGAAACCGATCGTACGTGGCGTTGAAATCGCGTGGGATACGTTTGAAAGATGGATTTCTGTGTCGTGTGTGCACGAAGAAACGCGTTTCGTCGACAAACAGACGACGATCAAGTGCTGGTGAACGCGTGTCAAGCATCCGCGATCACGTAGCGATTAATCCGCGGGGCGGTGACAAATAACTTGCGACGAGCTCGGCTTGCTCTATCGGTGTTAACGAAGTGAAAGCGCTCACGGGAACAACGCAAGGGGGCGACCGGCAGCAAGACTTCGTGAACTGCTGGGGATCCACTGATAAATCCCGAGTGGAGCTGGAATCACAACGGTGTCGCCGACATCCTCCCCGAAGCCTCCCAAAATAAGCCGTACCCGCGACGAGAACATTATACTGTGCCGCGTGCAAAGACTTCTAAGCGCATCAGAGGATTAACAAAATTTTCTTTGGCCGTGGTCATGTTATTAGGCGGAACTGTAATCCGGAAAGAGGCAACTCTGAGCGAGTCGTTTGTCCAGGATTAGTCAAGCCAAATTGTCGGTGCAAGCACGGGCTTCGGAAGCCGCCACGCTGACACTCATTCCTCCTCTCTCTCTCTCTCTCTCTCTCTCTCTCTCTCTCTCTCTCTCTCTCGCTCTCTTTCTGTTCGTCTCTCTCCCCGAGTCATTTCCCCCCGTGTGAACCGAAGATTCCACCCCCTAGCTAATTCCACCGACACTAGTCCGAGGAAACTCCTGGACGTGAATCCGCTGCTGCGGTTGTACCAAGGCGACGAGGCTCGCGGATACGACTACGGGTTGCTTTCCGGGATAGCGAGTGGCCTAATTTGGATCCTTCGTCGTTGTCGTCCCGGCGTCGCCCTGCGTTTCGCGTCCTCGGGACTTTTTGCCTCGGAACCAATCGTCGGGATTGTCGTTGTGTCGTCCTGCGGACGCGCGATTCCGCGAACATCGGGAAATTCCTCCCTGTCTATCTCTCTTTCTCTCTTTGTCGTCGGACGAGTCGTCGCGACTCGATTCGAATTATCGTCTCTCTCTTTGTTTATCACTTGTGCTCCATCATTCTCGATCATCTTCGATCATCCTTGATATCAACTTCCTGCTCCTCCTACTTTTTCATTTATCACCACTCATTGCCCGGCACGAGCGACGGACTCGTTATCGAGCCGCTACAATGATAACGTATATATACGTCGTAGTTAATAGAAAATTATCGTGTACATGTATATATGTGAGCAATGACGTGTGATCTCTGTGTATGTGTGTGTGTGTGTGTGTGTGCGTGTGCGCGCGTGTGTGTGTGTACATATGCGAGGGTCAATTTCGGTGGTGGCTCGTCGTTGCTGGCGTTGACGTTCCGTTTCCGGAGTTCTTCTGAGAGTCGTGAGAGCGTGTGATGTCTTATTGTTTTATTTGATTTTTTTCTTTTCTCTCATGTTCGCGTGTCGACGGCTCGTGCGGATACGCGGCGTCGGGATTAAGGAGCGAGCATCTTCGACAGCTCCTCGTCCTGAAGGCAGCCCTTCAGGAATTCATCTTGCGTCAGCTGCCCGTCGTTGTTCTCGTCCATCTTCGCGAATATGTTCTTTGCCCTCTCCTCCGCGCTGTCCGCCGGCCTGTTGCTCGAACACGCACCGAGCATATCGTATATCGCCTGGGAACAGAAGGATAACACTTTGTTTCTCCACGTGACGCTTAGTCTCACGCAGGGATCGATCGTAATACCGATCTGTGTATCCCGACATATTTTATAAGATCGTTACAAGAGACAGTTCTACATTAATATCTCTACAGGGTATGTCTGACGCGAACCTTGTCCCATACCTGATGTACATGTAGATTAGGTCAAACTGAACACGAAATTTCTTTACCATTTTACAAACAACCACGTAGATTTTTTAATTATTGGTAATTATGTAGAATAAAGACTTTTCCGAATTTTAATATTTTTTTGCTGCAACCTTGATTAATATCTTTGTTGTTATTCCAACAGTGATAATCAAATGGGGGGACATGAAAAATATGTAAACTATCTATGTTTTTAACTATTTTTTCTAATATATGCCTATATGTAGAATATCGTATCCCTTAAGGTTTAAGACTAAAAATGCAACAATGTACTGAAAAGATTAGAACATTTATTTATCAGTAACAAACACTACTTTATTGGTAATATAAAAAAATAATTTTTACAAAAATAAACATTGAATTTTTGTTTAAATTGGAGATCAGGTCTTCAAATTGTACATTGAGTTTTTAAATCATATTTCAAAGATATGCAGTCATAAACAATAAAAAAGTATTAATTAATTATTAATTAATCCTATATTACATTAATATAACAATAAAACAAAACAAAAATAAAAGTACACAAGTAATGTTAGTCATCTATTTTGCTATATAACATAAATATTGCTTTAACAACATGTTTCAACAATATTTTTAACCGATTTGGCTAATTCTTTTATCATGAATCATGCCTGTTTCATTTGTCACCGCGGTTTCCTTCGTCATCACGGTTTAATTCGTTATCGAGCGCAATGATTTCACAAATCTGAAGGTTTTAGTCGTCGCTCGTTGTTTGTTAAAAAATTATTAACAAAAAAAGTTGTGTGAATGTAATATAATTTTTCAAGACAGTTCTATAAAATACACATTTTTCCTTTCACTTTTGTGAGAAATTCTCACTCTTTAGCTTAAGTACAACAGACTTGGCCCCCTCCCGCCGCGTTGCGGGGGGTTTGGGGGGTCGTAGCTCCCCAGTTACACGGCTAGAGACAGAAATTTTTTTTATTAATATCTCGGAAACTATAAGCGACCGCCATGTAGCCATGTTTATATTATTGAAATATGGTAAAAAATAAAAAAGGTGCCTATCCCTAATCGTGTAACTGGAGGGCTACGCCCCCCAGACCCTCCACACCGCGGGGGAGGGGCAAAAGTCTGTTGTACTTTAGCTAAGTTACTTAACTTAAAGTTTAACAATCGCAAATTGAAATGGAGGTGCCACAAACCCCGAAAAGCTATGTAGGAAAAAATAATTAAAAACATTGAAAGGTGTTACGTACTTTTCGGTTCTCCCACTTGATTATCAATGTTGGAATAATAACAAAGATATTTATCAAAAGATTGCAGCAAAAAAATATCAAAATTCGGAAAAGTCCTTATTCTACATAATTACCTTATTATTTAGACACTCTGCATATAAGAAAACAATCAATCACATACTGTGACTGGAAAGTTTTCTACTTCTTGTTTTCGATTCATGGAGTGATGTTGCTCCAAATATTGATACATTTTTTATTGATGCATTCGTAAAAATTGCGCCAATATTATACAACTCGAAATACGATGAAATAAATATTTTTTATGCATGATATTTTGTTTTTAATGCGTAAAGACGTAGATAATATGTTAATTTTCAGTGGGTGTAATAAAATATAAAGAAAACATTAATTTATAATTATGAATTATAAAATTACCCCGACTGAACAGACACATAATGATCGACTTAATTTATATGAGAATGTATGATGCGCTATGGAATGCTGAGTGAAGTAAAATGTAACGCGTAAGCCGATATTTTACACGTCAAGCAAAAGTTAAGTACGGTGCAGTGAAAGGTATCTCAGTATACTATACATATTTGCATACGTATGCACGTCGGTGAGTAATGTTATCTCTATTGAGAAAACGGCGGAGAGAGCGGTGGAAATGCATTATTGGCTCGACGAAGCCATAAATCACGGAGACCAACGAGCAACCCTCGTGTGTCATGTTTTTTCACGCGTGCGGAAATCCACCCTAAATCCATCATCAAGAAATCAAACGTTGTGTGAGTCGCACAACGCCTTTATGAAAAAAGGAAAGGAAGGAAAGGAAGGAAAGTACCATTAGATTGATGAATATTCGAGTGGGCATCGATGGCCCACGATTCCTCCCATTTTGCATCCTGCCCAATTAGGAAAGATAAATTTCAAAAAGATTATATTTTAAAATTATCATCGTTAAATTTACATCGCACAAAAATGTAAGTTTTTTGTAAGCAGCAATAAATTTATTAAAAGTTATACTTAAATTTTCATATTATTTAATATGATATATCGTTTGGGACAAATTTTGAAACTTTCTTTCCTATTTTTATATCATTCTATGTGAGTATAATCCGATACTTTATTACATTATAAAAAAGTCTAATACTTTTGGAAATATTTCTGACAGATTTTGGGCTTTACAATGAAACGTGAGATCCTTAAATTATTTGAAAAATCTCGACGTGTTTGTGCACAAGGAATCGACTAAAACTAACTTAAATATGCCCGGAAGTGTTTGATCGGAAAGTTATTGACAAGATAAGAATCAATACCTTGGTTTACCTAGTATATATCCCACGTTATCATTGTTATTATTGTTATTGCATAAAGTGCATGAAATTCATTCGTGGTCAAGCAAGAAGTAAGCAAATGCGAAGTTAAATCGTTACCGACGGCACACGCACTTGTTTTTCTTATGCACGCGACGTTCACGATCGAGGGAGCGTGGCTAAGTGATAAATTGTGTCGCCACAAAAATATAATTTATCGCGCGACCGATACTTCGATTCACTAAAAGCGCACTGGTATGACTTTTTATTTATAATCTCTTTTGTACATTTTAGCCCACCGTGAATTGCCGGACAGAGATAAATGTGCAAAATTTATTATTTTCTCGCCCAAACACAGAGAGCTCCGCGCGCACGATAAAGCAGATTAATTTTATCGCGAACGTACTGGTGGTTGCTGTGCACCGGTAGGAAACGATTATTTAAATGAAATTAAATTTGTAGTTATCTGCAGCGTTACACACTTTCATCTGGAAGGTTAAATCAATCCCTTCAAGGTACATGTGGAAAAAATTTCTGCGAAAAAGTAACATAATGGAAAGCTCGCGCACTGTTGCGATATAAAGGTAATGTCAAATGCACTTAAACCGTGAATATAATGTCACGAGCGCGACATTACGCGTTACGCGTTACGCTTTGTGTCAAAAGCGATCTTCTCGCTCGGAGGTCACACAAATTTTTATCATCTGAGAAAAATAATTGTATCTATCCAGGTAGACAGGTATACGTAAATTTGGCAGCAACTTTATACTAGTCGATTTGTAAAGGTTGCGTCCTGCATGAGTAGTGTGACACATTTTTCTCATATTCTATGATAAAATAGAGATACAAAAAAAAACATGAAACAAATGATCAAAATTGGCTCGAAACGATATTTCATCTGAAATGTGGCATGAAAACCTGCGTGTAGCTTTTAGTAACTTTATAATCGCATCGATATAACAAAAAATTTATTGATGTAAATTGAATAGTTAATTCAATACACTATATTTTTCCATATACGTGCAATTAAAAAAATTGTAGAATTTCCATCATTGATTGTCTCGTGATGATGAAAGTCTATTTGGGTATATTTTTTCGATGTAGAAATAAAAATATGTAATTACATCCGTGAAAATGTGAGTACACGTGAACACAATATCTGTACATGTTATATTTCGTATAAATTGTCCCTCCTGATGAACTGATATGTAAATTTTACAACGTTTTTAAGTACATTAAGTTACGAAATTCGTAATGTTAAATCTTATATAGCTGATCAGATGGCATTCATATTCATCACACAGAATGAAGTAGAGATACGAAAGAAATGTTCAAAATTTGCCCCAAACAATATGTTATACGACAATGTAACATAAAAATCTGAGTGTAATTTTTAGTAAATTTGTTGTTGCGTCGATACATAACTTACATTATTGTATGATGTAAATGTAATGATTACTCCAGTACACAGTATATTTACATCATAAGTTTAATTAACGAAATTGTAAGGTTTCCATCATTCTCGATTGTAAGGTTTCATCTCTCGATTGTGTCTCACGTCGTGAACATCATGAAAGTCTATCTGGGTTATCTCAAGTTCTTTTCTCTCGAACGCATCTCAAGCAACCGTGCGCTACGTCGGGAACAACGAGTTTCGAGGGGGAAGCGCCGTTGCAGGCGAAGTCTCGTGACGACGCATGGACGACGTAAAGTCGAGCGAGTTAGAGCAACGTGTGTACTTCGCGCGCCGTGGATGCGCGCCCTGGGTTAAGTGTTAAATATGGCAGGCAGCCGAAGTTCCACTGAACGCCGCGTCGTTAATTTTCGCCGCGCGCGGAGAGCACCGGTTAGCGGAATTTCCTGCGAACGCGCCGCCGCCACGGAAGTTCCCAACTTCTAATAGCGTAGAGAGATGGGTATCCGAACGGACGCGGCTGGGGATGTTTATAGGGATGGCTCGATGAGCTTTTTAACGCGCGATAACGTAGCGTCAGAGCGCCGCGCGCAAGCACAAAGAGTCCTTCCATTGTTTCCCCTTCTTCTTTATGCCAGCCTGGGCGAAACTTTTAGCCGATAATTAAAACGTTTCAGCTCTTTAACGATCTCGAGGGCGATTTTTCTCGTTACTTGAATTTCAGACCAGCCCGCGCGAACGATGCTCCCAGCGAAGGAGAGCTCGTTACTCAGAAGATAAAGTGGCGTCGGTCACGACGTGAACAAGAAGATTCCTACGGATGTCTGTGCACGGTTCTGCAGTTAAAATTAAGGACACCTTTTTCCGCGCCCGCGCGTCTCACAGTCTTCCGCCTTCTCGCGCGAGAAGGCAAGAAGATGGAGTTTTAATGTAGAAACGTAATGTTCCGCGTGTCGCGAGAACAGATACGGGAAAGCAATCGGGATGAGATCTGCACGAGATAATGGAAGTCATGACGTAATGATACTTTTTTTGAAGCGCGACGCTGCGTCTTATCGCGATTTCTTTTCTTTTTTTTATTTCTTCCGGTTCGCCGGCGTGCAAATACACGTTTCGCTACTGATGCAGATTCGCGCTCGTACACAACGACAGTAATTAATTTCCTCCGTCGAGATCCTCTATCTCCTCACCTTAATTTTCGAGATTCATGTCGCGCGACGATCCGACCGGTCTTCGCGAGGAGACGTCACGAATTTTATTACTAAACTGGTCTTCCCGGACTTTTCTGCAACGTATCCAGGTGTTATTGACAATAACGACTCATTAATTTACGCTCGGGCACAAATTCCACTGCAAAGTATTAGCATCGTTATTCTATCGTCAGTGATACAAAGTTCTAATAATAAAGTTAATAACAAAGTTCTTATATTGAATCTTGCCACGATAAATTTCAATAGTATTTTACGCGATTATTTGCTCCATTGTGCGCTATTTAGATCCAATTTACTTGGGAGCGTTTTCTCCCTTATTACGCAGATATCCCGAGACGAAATTTTGGTTCTATATTAACCCTGCAAACACCGTCGAGCTTGAAGGATCAATGGAGAATCTCAAGGTATAACACTACGGGCTGTTGACCCACCTTGATCATGCAAATGATGATGTTGCCGTTTCCTCATGTTAAGATGTGAAAGAACACTTACTTAAGAATTTTAATGTTTGATTATCTCGATATTCTATGTATATTTTGGACTGATAGAGATGATGTAAGATAACTTTCTTCAACTCATAACCCTTTTGATACTTACTTTTATTGAGGTTGAAGATTTCGAGGGGACTTGAAACTCTCGAAAGAGTTGGAGATGAAAGAGAAGAGGAGAGACAAACATAGCACTGATGTAAACATCAACAAGGATTTAAACTCGATATAAAAACAACGGTAACAATAACAACTGAGAAAAGATGTTAGAAGGTTCGAGACAATCCTTCATGTCCCAGGAAGTACCATCAGATAAACAAATTTCAACGCTTGCGACATTTTGAGGTTGATATTCATAGTTTTTAATTGTTTATTCGCGACTGTTTGAATCAAATTGTTTGTTGCATGAGATAAGTGTTACCGATCATACTTCGAGATTCTCCATTAGGGTGCTTTAAATTCGACGGAAATTTGTGGACGGAGTTAATGCAGCACAAATATTTCGACTTAGGACAGCTTGCGTTACTTGTGCCACTGCAAAATTCTAGCGAGCAGGACTATGAATAGCAAAATCGCGAGCTACTGTGCGACCATCTAAATATTACAGTTGATTACACCGTCCATAGATAAAACGCACGAGGTCGCGGTTTTATAAAAAATTCATTATGCAAGGACTTTCGGAAATTCCATTCATCCCGGTGGCTGCACGCTGCTGCTACTGCTGGGTCACACAGTGGCGGGGAGAAGATAGCCTATTCAGTTATTTAAAAATGCGACGCGACGGCTGCACATGTAATGAAGCTTTCCTTTCGCTGTTCCGTGAAATGTACGGCGCCAAAGTGGAATAGCCGTATGACTATGCCGACATTTGTTCTCGCGAAGGGGATTCATGAAATATTAGCGCGCCTGCGTTCGGATGTACGCCGCTCGATGCAGCGGCAAGAACGGCGGAGATAAACCAGACGGACGGACGGACGGAGAGAAAAACAGCGCTGATTTACAACCTTTTACGCTGCAATCGCACGTTAATTGACCATTATATTAATCAGAGTTGATTTACTAGGGATCTAGAGTGATTACTTGTGCAATCTCGTCAAAGCTGAACTCGAAGGTCTTATGTGGCGAATATGAGCGCAAATAAGAGAGATAGATAAAGAGAGAGAGAGAGAGAGAGAGAGAGAGAGAGAAAGAGACATCGATTTACGACGTAAATTTCATCGCTCATGTTATTAACCCTCCACGTACAATGTTGAATTTGTGAAATACGAATGAATATTCGATCGCTAACTGATTCTCGTGAAAATATCCAGATAATGCAAATTTTGGTAAATTTTGATTTCATTACGTTACTCTGCACACAGAAAAATACATTCAAGTGATTGCTTCTTTCAAGTATGTTATAAGTTTATATATTCGCAAGTTTATCATATGAATTCGTCATCATGAAGTATCCAATTTATTCAAAAGACATCCTGAATCCTAATGCGTTTAATATTTCAATCAAGAATATTACATTAGATTAAAGATTCGGTTCGTTTGCTACATAGAGTCGAACCAACTTTTTTCCCGATAAAGTTTTATAATATTCTTATAAAGAGAGAATTTTTCTTTCAAGTGCATGATAATGAACTTTTCTAAGATTTGCGAAGAGCACATTTTAAGACTATTACTGATAAGAGAAACTTTATTGAAGTTAACCATTACTTAAGAGGCAAAGAAATAAACCAAGTAATGGCTTTTCTTAGTAGCAGAATATTTTTCTGTGTATATCTCGTAACTGAGGGACTTTTCTATATCTCTAGAAAGGAATGTGTCCAAGAATATTGATCTTCAACAAAACTATGATTAACTCAAAGTTGTCCGAATTTAATCACGGTCCAGATTGTACTGTGTGTGCTAAAAAATATGATTGTACGCAAGAGAATGGTTAATTTTTGTCTCACCGATCGTGCGGTGACGATATTTCTTTTTAATCGAAATAAAATGCGTCACGTTCGATGCTCAGATACACGTGAAAGAAGAGATTGTTCCGTGGAAGCTTAACCACTTATTGAAAGATTCATCGGTTTAAATAAAATCATAAGTTTCCCGTGCGAAAAAGGGGAGTTTCATCGCGTACGTTGGCGCATGAATATTCCTGAATATATTATATCAGTGAATCGCCGATTAACCTAGCGCGATATAGAGATAAAGAAGGAAAAAAGAATGGAAAGTACTGACGTCAAGTATTAATAAAAAAAAAATCCCTATTCCATCGAAAACGCGTCGCGGGTGAGTGGAAGTAAGTAGGCAGATAAATCGAAGTAACGTGCATTATTCATGGAGTTACAGTACCTGGACGATCTTCGTCATTTCTTGCATATCGATAACGCCGTTACCGTCAACGTCGTACATACGGAACGCCCATTTCAGCTTCTCCTCCGGCGTGCCGCTGGACGTAACGTCGATCGCCAGCAGGAATTCCTGCAACAAAGGAGCGAGGGTATCAGCAACGCCGTCAGCGGCCGCGCAACAATATCGAAACTTTTATTTCCTCCTCCGCCTGGAAATCTATCTTTTGTGCGACGGCCGTTCAATGAAAATCTATATTCCCGAGACCTATCTGGGATACGCGTGTCGGAGCGAGCCACTTTCCGATGCCATAATTCAAGCATCCATCGGAGCTCGAAGAGCCCCGGGAGAGGAGAGAGAAAAAGAGAGATGTGTGCATTTATAAATAATATATAAAATAAAACCCGAATACACTCGGAGACGGCGCGCAGTCGGTCGGAAGTCGCATATTGATTAATCCGCGACCTTAACGACCTATTTATTCTTAACAAGTTTCGCGAGGCGTCGCAAAGTCGCGCGATACGCGCAGTAAAAACCTGCTTAATTAATCGAAGAACTAAATCCCGAGATTCTTATTTATCTTCTCAAGACTTCGTTTATTCGAGCTGTTTAATCTTCTTTCTAATTCTCCTTCCTACGGAAAATCTCTGAAGGAATTCTTCTGAAGGAATTCTCCCAATTTCGCGAGAACATCTTCGAAATTCTTTTAGTGTCTTGTTAACCTGAATCAAAATTTTGACCTCAATATTCCTTTTAACTTTTGATACTCTGAAATCTATTCCTTTCTTTTGATTCATTTTAACTTACTAACTTTGCCAAGAAGTCAAAGGGGATTTTAAAATTTGCAAGTAGCGTTTTGTGCGTTTTGTGCTATTTAGAAGTGAAATAGGTTTTCAGTCTTCATGTATATTGAATATATACTGATTCTTTAGAATACACAGATATTAGAAAATTCTGATCGAAAGTAGGACTAAAATTTCGACACGAGAAAAATTCAGTTGAAAACAAAAACCACTGCATTGAGAGAAAAAAATAGCCAATGTTACTAATATTATAATTATTTCCGGAGTCTATATTCTTTAGTTGATCTAAGAAAAAAGCAGCAATAATAATAACATGCTATTATTGATAATATTACAATAATACTTGCTACTAAAGTGACTTTCTTGACTATAAATCTCTTGATTATAGTTACAAATATCGAGTACTTTTCTCTCAGTGTGAAAACATAGCCGTGAATTCTTCTTCTCCTTTGAAAAATGAGGATTTAAAAAATTCTCATTTTTCAGAGACTCACACAGACAGACATCGGCCACGGCCAGCTTACATATCCCGGAACTTTGACACTTTTCACACATCGTCATTTCTCACACGACTGTCAAGTCGCGTCAGTCGCGTCGAGAGCGGGAATTGGAAAAATCGTAGCGCCTCGAAAGCGGCGCTTAATAAATCCACCAGAGCGACGCTCTACGTGCAGTAGAGCGGTCTATAAATTTTCAACGGCAAAGGCTAATAGTCTCGCCACCTCTCCCAGTCGACCGTCGATAACACTTGCAATATTCCACAGATACGCTATCGCGATCACAGGCTCGCTTTGTCGCATTCGGTACGCGCATGTTACCGTCACGAGATCGGGTAAGGAGCGCAAAAGCTCGCTGTCACGATCACGATCGCGTCGGGCGAATTTGTCGGGTCAAATTCGCGTGGGATATCCTCGCCCGGGGGCCGATAGCTTTCGAGCGCTAGGCGCGTCGTCGTTAGAGCGGCTACGCTCCTGCAAAACTGGGTCACCCACCGCCTGAGGTAGACAAACGAGACGAGAGCTTTATAGGACGGAGCACAGCGCGCGGAGGGTGGACTAGCTCTTTGCTCTTCCTGACCTCTCGAGTGTCCCGCCACTTCTCGTATTGACCCTGGCAAGAGAGTGACAGAGGGAGGGAGCGAGGGAGGGAGGATGAGAAAGAGAGAAAGACGCAATGTTCTCTGTCTCTCGGATTATTCTTTATCGTCGGCCTTAGGCCTGCACTTATCTGAGATGCAGTCTACCTGCAAAGCACCGCGGAAGAGTCCGGCGCGAAAAAGCCCCGACATTAGTCGAAACGGCGGTTGAACGACGTCAGGGAAAACATCCTTGTGATGCCATTAGCCGGGCGGTACGTACAGACACCGTGACAATGAATGTGAGACCGAACTCGCGCTCGAGGGAAAAAGCGAAGTGCTTCCTCTGGGGAGGAAGATTTTCAGAGCACGCTCGGTAACTTCCCCGCGATGGGCATTCGGGATATTCATTGCGAGTGCAGGGAGTCACTAGACATAACACGATATCGCAATAAAACCACGTCTTCGGTAATAAACGTATTGAGCGCTCGTGCACGAGAAGAATATATGCGGGAAGGATGCTTCGCGCTTTGAGATCCTGAAACTTAATATCTACCTGAAAATCAATAATCCCACGCGCGCACTTTTCCAGCATTTTTCGAGCTGGAATACTATCAAATATCGTGCAACGATGCGAAATATATATTTCGTTCACCATTTATAATAAATAATTGTTCCCCGCAAGGTAATTCAATAGTTCGTTATCGTGACGGAAATTATGCCAACACAGCTATGTTGAAATCAATATTTTGATAATAAGACCATCCCTGTTAGAGCCATGTTATGCAAGTGTGTCGACAAAAATAATTATTTCTGTTGTGGCGAATCTACTTCAGTGAAAAGTACAAGTTAATCTTATTGACTCGTACAATATGCGGATTATACTTCAAAGTAGAAGATGATAGAATTTGGATCTCTCATATTATATTATATATAATATAAAACTGTCTTTTTCTCAAAAACTGTTACAAACTAAATTCTCCTATTGTTATTTTCTTTTTGAGAATGTTCGAATTATGCGGAAAACATATTAAGAGTTCTCGGCGCAAAGAAAAAAGTTAAAATTTCTTGTCCAATAATATTAGAATTTAGCTTAAGACTTTATTTATTGAAGAAATCACCTCAACTTGACAATTCAACTTTTTTAAAAATTGACTTAAGGTAATAGCAGTTTCTGTATTTATGGAGAATATTGTACACAGCTTCATTTAACTTCAGACAGGCCGGAATACAATGTGAGAATAGGAAAACTTATATAGGGTTGGTTGGTTAGTTGGTTCAAGTACCCTCGCGTCGTTTGCGTTAATAAAAGGTATGTTTTATGCAGCAAGTCGTGAGATAGGAAGTCGAGCACCTCCATCAGGTCGTGCAATCGCCCTACTCCTCTACTTTTGCTCAATTCGCCTCGTATGTTACGGCGTTATTCCATTTCACGTATCAATTTCACCGTCACTCGAGACCAGTAACGAGTTTACGCAACTCTCGCTTCGACATTTAAATTCTATTTACGTTTGCTTCAAAACAACCGGCGAAACGATCGAAATCGCTCGACGCGGAATGAGAAATTTTCGGCCGATTCAACAGAATGGTCTCGCGCGAGCTGCGACCCCGTCGTTTATTTTGTTCCTAATGGGAGGATTCGCGATTTTCCGTTCGCGCAATTGCTGCGACATTTCATGCTAAAATGCGAGAATCTTTTGTTTTATTCGGCATATTATGTGAACTTCCTCAAATGCTAGAAATCCGTGCGTGTTCGATTTGAGGAGCGCGAGTCGACTCGCGCGCAGTCTCTGATTGAAACAAAACGTTTGCTCGTTTGCAAATATTGCGTTATCTCGAAAACGAGTCTGCGTTATCGCCAGGTAGAATTGCCAATAGAGTTGCCCGCCAGAGGTGAGCAACATTCACGTCGCACAAAGCACGCGGACGTATCCGCGAAAGAACTGCGAACACTCTCGCGGCTCTGCACGGCTAACTTTTGGCGTTTAAGCTTGCGGCCAACTTGAGTCATCTCGTAATACACGTAGTGCAGAAATCATATTCATTGCACTTAGTTCGTGTCGTACCACGAGTCGGCCGAGCTTTGTGCACGCTTTCACGATTACAATGCAAAGTGTGGATAATTTACATAGAAATAATGACATCATTATGCTCCCAGCCCATCCGCAGACTCGTTTCGTACGTTATTTACCGTGAGCTACGCGATATCCGCGCGAGTTTTTTACGCGGAAGATAAAAAGAAGATGTATTGTATGCATAATGTCCTAACAATATTGAATATTTTCTCTTTTGTGTCAAATATACAACATGTTTGATGATAATATATAAAAATCTTTCGTGCGCGTGTAGATTGGATCTGTACAAAAAATTCTTCTAGCATTTTGCAAACAACCACGTAAAATTATGAATTATTAACTAAAGAAGATCACGCGCGCTATGAGGTAAATGAACTCTGATAGCGACGTCTGCTGTCGCGCTTATATATCAGGTTAAACTGAACAAAACAATCCTCTATCATTTTACAAGTAACCACATAAATTCCTGAGTTATTAATTAAAGAAGATCAGTTAATGATCGTGTGCGATTTCGAATTTTCTTTAGTCGACAACTTAAGAATCTACATGGTTATTTGCAAAATGACAGAGGAATATTTCATTCGGTTCGATCTAATCTATAAGCACACGACAGCGAGTGTTGCCATCACAGCTGATTTACCGCATAACGGTAACTTACCAATTTCAAAATAAAATTTTGAGTTATTAAAAGTTTAAAGAAGTTGTTTGCAAAATGGTAGAGATTTTTTGTTTAATTTGACCTAACTTATACGTATACGAGAGTTTTATATGCTGTCATCAGCCAACCTGTATTAATCATTTCTATCACGAAAATGACAGAAATAACTTTTATATTAAATATACATTAAATAGAAATGTTTATGATACACACACACACACACATTATATAAATGAAATATTATATGATATAAATTATATAAGTGAAATATTGTAGGATGGTATAAAGGAATAGAGAGGGTTTCGATGAGGGAAGGTCGAAGTGAAAATGAAGCCTAGCTATTTATTTGAATATTGACAGTATTGACTCGTATAAGGTCTCGAAGACAACTCGCTCGCTTCTAAACGCAGTGCTCGCCTTATATACTACAAAGGGTCGCAAAGTGGGGACTGAGTTAACAAAAGCCGCTTCTCGTTTTTTGGAGAGCCGCGCCGCGACGCAGCCGATCGCTATCGCATTGT